ACGTTTTTGTTTTTTTTTACGGCTCTTTTTTATACAACTTTGAATGCTGTTGATAAAACACAGATGTTGACTGTTTCTGCAAATAGAATAAATCTTTTTTTGCAAAAAAAAAAAAAAAACCCCGCTAACATTTCTTGATAATTTCTTCCACCTGCATCCAATGAAAATGACAGAACAATGGATATGGAGCATGTGCACTGCTGGCTGAGAAGTGCATTAGTGGGCATTATGGTCGGACAGAGTGGGCTTCAGTGAAACAAAAATAACGGAGGCGAAACGAAAGGTTAGAAATGGTTTGTGTGTTGGTTTAAGTGAATGTRAGCCTGTTTTTATTTCATTTTACTTTATTTTTGGTTTTCATAAGACCAAAAAACCTTGAGATCATGTGTCTATGGTTTAAAAAAAGCATATAAATCTACATGTTTGAAAAGTGATTTAAAAGGGTTGATAGGTTTTATGGATAGAAATGAACTAGAACAGAGTTTGGTTAAAAAGTTTGGTCTTTTTGTTCAGTTTTCATGGACAAAAATAAGTAAAAGGCTTCAGTGAATAAATGACATCATTGATGAAAAATAAAGAACAGTATATCTGCTTTTAAAAATAGCAAACAAGCTCAAATCTTTACACATTTAAATGAGAAATTCTTTTTAAATAATTACATTTTTTATACCTAAATACTGGTTAATTACAAAAAATATGACTGCTGATGTAAAAAAAAAATCCAGAAAAAAAGACTAGGCTTGTGGATTTACTCAAACGGTTTTTTTAGGGTTTATTTAATTTGTGTGCTTTTTAAGGTGTTTTAAGGAATTTCAGGCTCGTTTGTCACGACGTTAACCCTCCTGTCATGTTTGTTTCTGAGGAACAGAAATGATGTTCCTGCATCAGTTTGACCCAGGTAATGTTCAATCGTGCAAAAGTGTCAGAAACCAAAAGAAATCCCCCCGACACGTGTTTGTATCTGATTAACCATGTCAGTCAGTATTTGTGCGTTGATGTTTTTATGTCTCAGAGATAAAGGATCAACGAGGACAGAAGCTGTGGAGAAGGTTGGGATTTAATAAGTTTTTACTTCTTCCCATTCCTTTTAGAATATGTTGATTTTGTTATTTTGTTTTGTTTTCCATATACGCGTTTTAAATAAACTAAACTAAATTAATTTAAAACTAAACAATTCACTTGTTTTTCATAAAAAAGACATTACATTTTTATGTCCACTGAAAATACGTACACACACAAAAAACAATTGATTTTTTCTGTACATTTTGTTCTATGTATCATGTAGATGCAGGGGGAAGTTGCAAATTTGTAAAATGAACCATTTTATACATTGATTACTTATTAAGACAAATAGAAAAAGTTTCAGACATAAAAATTACTTTAAACTACTTTTCAGCTTTAAAATGGGTCATTTTGACTCACACCACAATAACAGGAGGGTTGAAGGAACTTTGTTGGTCGTGTTTGAGATTGTTTTTCCTTTTTTCAACCGTTCAAAGACATCAAGTGTTGAACTCTTTGAACCTTATTTTCAAAGGTTACRTCATCTTCTAATGCCAGTTTTAATCAAGCAGTGTCCAACAAAATATCGGTCTTTTGGCTCATTTAAATAGTGGTGGTCCACTGCACCAGGACAGCCAGGGGGGCTACCAGAGAGCCGACTGGCAGTTCAACCCCTGTTGTCAGGGTATTTAACCCAATATAATGACTGGACTTATCAGCCTTTTAAAACTGTATATTTTTCAAAGTGCCTCTGTATTCGGGGGG